AAGAAGCATTTCAAGGTCCTGGAGTGGCCTAGCCAGTCTCCAGACCTGAACCCAATAGAGGATCTATGGAGGGAGCTGAAACTCTGTGTTGCCCAGCGACAGCCCCAAAACCTGAAAGATCTGGTGAAGATCTGTTTGGAGGAGTGGGCCAAAATCCCTGCTGCAGTGTGTGCAAACCGGGTCAAGAACTACAGGAAACATCTGACCTTTGTAATTGTAAACAAAGGTTTTGGTACCAAATATTAAGTTCTATTTTTCTATTGTATCAAATACTTTTTCATGCAATAAAATGGAAATAAATTATTTAAAAATCTAACAATGTGATTTTCTGGAATTTTCTTTGTAGATTCTGTCTCTCACAGTTGAGGTGTACCTACGATGAAAATGACAGATCTGTCCATTCTCTGTAAGTGGGAAAACTTGAAAAATTGGCAGTGTATCAAATACTTATTTGCCCCACTGTAAATGTATGGCCATTTGCCTTGGGGGATGAAGTAACCAATAGGTGGCACTGTTCCACTTTCTGTCTCGCGTCAAAGTGTACTGCTGACACAGAAACATAAAGTAGCCAGACTGGAGTTTGCCAAAACTTACCTGAGGAAGACAATGACCTAAAGCAGACTTCAGAAAGCACCTGATGGTTTCAGACAATGTGCTGGAGAGCTGTGAAGTGGCCAGCAATGAGTCCAGATCTAAATCCCATAGAGCACCTGTGAAAAGATCTCAAAACTTCAGCTGGGAGAAAGAACCCTTAAAATCTAAGCGACCTGGAGCAATTGGCAAAAGAAGAGTGGTCCAAAACTCCAGTAGAGAGGTGGAAGAAACTCACCAATGGTTACAGGAAGCTATTGATGTCAGTTATTTTGTCCAAAGGGTGTGCTACCAAATATTAAGTTGAAGGTGTCAGTAACTCTGTCCAGTCCATTTTTAGAGTTCTGTGTGGAGTATATTAGATTTGGCTTTTTTTTCTGTGCATTTTGTTGTCCTCCAATGCAGACAAAAGAAATGAATATGAGAATATCGAAGAGTTTGTGATTACAACAGAAATGCAGGGGTGCCAGTATTTTTGGCCACAACTCTAAGTTGGTCTATAAACTCTCCTGAAACAGCAGGAACTGAATTACATCAGTGCTTAGTGAAAAGTCAAGATGCTTACTTTGCTCTCATTCAAAACCAGAATGTTTCTTTGTGCACATCATTGTATTTTATGTGTCTGTTTCCACTAGATTGCCCGTTTAAGGGAGGAGGGATCCAGGCAACTCGAGGAGGAGCAGAGACTCATCAGAGAGCAGATCCAGAGAGAAAGAGAAGCACAGCAGCAACAAACAGGAGACAGCACTCAGAGACGTAGGTCCACTTGCAGGAGTTAGCCTAGTCCATTCTGCACCAGCCGTGGATAGCCAGCAGTCCTGTTCTTCTGGATGAATCCAGTTTATCCCAGCAAAATCTTTTTAATATTGTGAAACCTCAGTTGAGTGAACCCCATGTTTCCTCACCATCATACTGTCAGTTCAGCCACAGCTGGCACCCTATGGTTCACCAAATATTATTCACATAAAAAACAATAATTGAATGTAAATTTCAACTTGTTTTACTTTCCAACACTTTTAAGAGGTCTATTTTAATTTCTTGACAGCGAGACAACTTGACAAGGTCACAGAATGCCAAGCACCACACACCCATACACACACATAGTTGCTCATGAGACTTGAAACTTATTGATAATATGGTTTCACTGAAGCCTTAGTGTCTCCAATAAAGAGAAGTGACTGTGTAAGTGTTGGTATTTAACCGAGGTACAGAGTCTTGGTCCTAGACTAGACCCCTTTTTGTGGCTGGACGATTACTCATGCACAGTCACCACGTCTTTTGAGTGTGTTCCATTTGCACGCAGTCAGGCTTTTCCAGTCAGTCCTCCTCTGTCTGGTCCAGCTCAAGAGGCACTCAGAGAATCATCAGACTGCAGCAAGAGCCATACACTTTCCATGTCACAGATCATTTAAAATTGCTGTTTATCTCCATGAGTCTCTCGTCTGCTCTCCTCAATAAAACAATTGCTGCTTTGTCATTTCACTACACTATCTCACTCCTACCCCATGTTTTTTTTTTCCCTCAGAATCGGAAGTGGAGAGGTGTTCCAGGAGCAATGTCACCCCCAAACTGAAGGTAAGGCTTTCTGCATTGGTGGTACTATGGGTCAGTGGATGAGATTATGAAGAGAGGTTGCAGTTCTTGGAGATTAACACATGGGAATGGAAGGGAGGAGGGGATGGCCCCAGCATGCTCAGGAGGGCTGCTCCATCCGAGTGAAAGTGCAGGCAGAACCCTAGCAAGGATTCTGATAGAACCTTAGGCATTTGTAATTCATTATTTGGAGACCACATTGGCTATCTTACCACTTAGTGCACAGGCTGATCTAACACCCATTCCTCCAGAGGAGTGCTGACATTGTTAGGAGACCTGTAACTATTCAAAGATAGGGCTTATTGTATTTCCTCCTGGAAATGGCCTGTCTATAGGCCTGTCTCATAGGCTTTTGAGTTCTGACCACAGTTCAATCTATCCAGTCATTGTCTGCTTATCCTGTAGAAGATTGAAGGGGGGCTGGAGCCAATCTTAGCTGACACTGGGCGAGAGGCAGGGTACATCCTGGACAGCGCATCACAGGGTTGACGTTGTATTTTCATTAGGTAGGTGAATATTTAACACAGGCAGAGCTGTTTGGGTTGTTTCCACTAATATGTTTTCTGTCTGTATATTTCTAGTGAGAGAACCCAGCTGTGTGTCAGTGTTGTGAACTTAAACCATAGACATCACATCATACAAATACTTTAAAATGTCATTTGAAGATTAATGGGTAAGAAGGTTATCAGTTGGGAGGATTCCTGCTCTTGGAAGCCGAATATACTTTTTTAGCCATAATTGTTGGTAAAACAGTCTATGTAGACATGGAAATTCCCAGAAATGCTGTTTCTTTGAAAGTGAGCAGAATGCTGGAGCTCAATCAACACTCACTGATATTAGCTAGACCCTGCTGCGCTTTGTCCAAGGATATGAGTAGTTCCCCAATATTAATATTTTTGTATGTTTTAAAAAGATAAATTATCTAGTGTATTTAGTGGAAGCTGCTCATATGCAGAAAAATAGCTATACATAATTTCTAAAGCAGAATATTCACAGTGCAATATGGTAAATATCTTAAGTGAAGGCACAGAAACACTGGTACACAAGCGAATATGTCAACCATAGTCCAAACTAAGACGTAGCACATGCAAGAGAAGTGCACCTTGGGCATTGACTTGGTTTGGATTACTTATTCATAGTTGTGTCTGGTGCTGTGCTGTAGTCTGTGGAGCTACAGTTACACAGGTGAGTCACTGTGTATTATGTGGGCCAGGGCTTTCACCCTGTCTAGATGTCCAGGACCCTCACCATGAATGGAAATTGACTGCAGGTCTCACAGGTGGTGCCAGGGTGATGTTCCAAGAGCGTTGCGTCTTTCTCCCGTAGCTCCAGCCTGCCCTGATGATGCTAATCTGTGTGTCACTGGAACCTGCTTTGTCTCCTTGTCAGATGGCTTTAATCAGTTGTGCTCCAGTGATTAGACATTATCATGCACTGTTTTAACTCTTGAAAAGTCCCCGGGACTGATATTGGCTTCTTCTTTCTGTGCTCTTTTCTTTTCCAGTTGAAATGGAAGTGTAAAAAAAATGACGAGATGAATGGAGGATATTCTAAAGACATTCTTTTGAGACTTCTCCAAAAGGTGAAAATCAAATACATGATATGCCTTTGCTGCAAGACTTAGTAATGGTTTATACAGTAAAGCACAATACCTGACATAGGACCATTTTGGGGTGGGCAATGTAATAATATATACCTTAAGATACCAAGGTAGTTTGATACTATAAATGTGACCTTATCAGGACATTGCAGACAGTGCTGTAAATTAATGAATAGGACTGCTTTATTTTCGATTTACGTGAATGTTGCACCAGTGTGAGGTATTTAATTGACTGGTTTAACCAAAAACTGATGTTCTTATCTGTGTGTGTAATCTATAAATTGCTTCTCATTTTCAGGAAATTGACTATATTAGACACGTATTGCTAGTGCAATATAAAATTACATATACTGTATAATGATATCATTGTACCTCTCTGTCCTCATTGGCACATGGCAGCGCTCCATAGTAACAAACCTGCCTGTAGACTCCGGCCTTTTTTGAGGTCTGCCTGACATCAGTGCTATAGATCATTTTTATTTTTTCCCCTTAAATAAGACCCATTAAATTTTGTTGCAGTGAAAGTGGTTAGGGCAGTGTTGTAGTGCCCTTTTAAAGCCATGCACGCCATTGTTTGTGCCCCGCTTACCAGGAGGTTAAATGGTAAATGGTCTTATACTTGTATAGCAGGCAACCGTCACTGACATCAAGCCATTAGGAAAAAGGTGTTTCGATTTTTCTCCCTCATGCACTCAGTCAGTATGGTCCCAGGCTGGAGGGTTGTGTCAGGGTAAAGATCATGGAAAAAAAATTGTGTTCTTTTTTAAATTCTTAAGCAAAGGAGATACATTTTAGGAAATTTGTTTAAAATGGCAAGCTCCAGTGAGCGACAGTTAATGGTTTAGGCAAGTCAAAATAACCATTGGTCTCTGGGAAAGCAAGCATGGGGTGTGTATACTTGTGCATGTGTACGTGTGAGGACTTGTGTACTTTGGCCACCTAAAATAATACATCTTTATTTAAAGGGGAAAAAAATATGTTAAGATATTTATATTTTATGAAACAGAGGCCTTTTGAGAGTCTCCTTTGTCACTGTTGGCATGCTCTAGAGTGTCCTGAGTAAGCATAAGCATTCCTGGACTTTCTTATTCCCAGAAAGCTGCATTTTCACAGAATGAGATTCTTAAAGGCAGTGTCCTCCTACTCTTTGCTCCCAAGCAGTGGTTAATGGTTAATGGCAAACACCATGGTTTTGGATGATGCGACCCTTTGCTCTGCTAATGAATCCATTTGACAGAAATCAGGTTTCTAGCCTTCCCTCATGGACAAAGGTCAGGGAGTAGCTGAGCTGCTCTTTGCCCTGCTTACCTTTGTGGCCGACTTTTCCTCCCTGTTGTCGATGTAGCAGGGAGCTGAATTACATCTAATTTAAGACTTCATGCCAAGATCTCACTTCCGGACATGATGTTGTATTGCAGTGTTACTTTGCTCTTTGTGCAGTGTTACTGCCTCAGTCTCAAACTTACGAAGCCTGTCATTAGAGATTATCTTAATAACCAAATGCATATTGAACCTGACTTCTATTCCTGAAGTCTGTTGTATTTACCAGTGTTTTTGAACTTCTGAGTCTGCATATGCTTTGTGTTTTCATGGCTCTGGGTTGTGCTGTGAAAGGAAATACTAATTTGAATGTTCTGCATCTGTCCTCTTCCTTTATTTGACTTTGTTTTTATTCTCTCGTTTCTTACCTCTAGTACGGGGATGTTTTGAATGTGATTGTATCGATTAAGAAGAAAGGAAGCGCTGTGGTTGAATTTGCAACCGTGAGAGCAGCTGTAAGTACCTAACTCTTCCCCGGTCTGTGTCCTCTTTCTGTTTGTTCAGTAATGAAAGTCTTCTCCAAAGCAATCATTTGCATAGAACCACATTTGTTTACCACTCCCTTGCCTTGAAGTCTCAGGTCACCTGCTGGGTTTGATTCTTACTAAGAATGACACCTGTCATAGACTTCCCAGCCTTAGGACAGTCTCTGTGACTGATGTTTTAGTCATTCTTTAATGTAGAGATCTCTGTGTTGATGGAAATCACTGGACAGAAGGAAGTGAGCTGCCTCATTGTTCCCCACCCTCTGGATCCTCAGGCCCTATGTCCTGGTGGTTTGCAGTACATTGCTGCTGTGCTTTCCTCACCACAGTGTGGTTTTTCTTCAAGGAAGCATGCCTGCCAGTCTGCTGGGACCTGAGCACAGTGTCTGTGATCTTTTTCTGCCCATCTCTAGGTTCTACAGTAGCTTTGCTCTTGGGAGTTGGCCCAGTTACAATCCACTTTTGTCTACATTTACATGTGTTTTTCATATGTGTATTAAACTTGTAGATTCCCCTGGTGTAAGATGGATAGAATACAAATTAACAGATATAAGGTTGTTTTATTATAATATGATAAACTGCTTACAGATTATTTGTGCACTTAGGAGCGGGCAGTTAAGAATGAATGTGGTCTCAGTGGAAACCCCTTGAAGATTTGGTGGCTTGAAGGACAGCCCGAGGTTATTCCTCCAGCATCTCAGCCTGGCAGTTTCATGTCTTCACAGGTACCGGTATAACCCGAAAATGGATTGTTGTAATTCCCTCCCTTTCTTGTGAAGCATGTTGGCCCTATGATACAGAATTTTCCCGTGTACACATGTTCCGGCACAGATAATATTGCGTAAACACTGTCCCACAAGAAGAGGTATGTAAACCTTCTGAGGTTTTATTTTCATATCAGTAGTACAGATATTGCCCCAGTGCTTGCACTCCCCTCATTAGGCCTAGAACAGTGTGTTTGGTTAAAGGAACCTCAGTTTATTTGCTTTGCAGTGGTGAGGCGCTGGCCAGGCGCTGGCCAGGCACTGGCCCAGAGCCCCTGGTCGGCTGCTTATTTATAGGCCTGACCTGGGAGACCCCAAGAATGCTGCACTTTGCATAGCAACCCAGGAGAAGCAGTGTGCATGTGAGACGGAGTAAATGCTTGCACTGGTGCCAAGTTTTGTCCTGTAGAAAATATACTTTCTGCAGGCCAAATGTTTGCTGCACAACACTATAATGCTTTATTGAGGAAAACTTAAAACATCTTCCTGATAGGATTTGGAAATCACAGTAATCAGTTTTATGATCTTGACTTTTTTTTTTATTGATTTTGCATGCCTTGTATTTTGTCTTTCACTGCCAGCACACGTGCAGGAATGGAGTTAGTTTCTTTTTAGCTATATCCAGTGAGACTAAAAAATCTTTCTCAGTAGATTAGTATCAAGGAATGTTTTGTCTCCGCCGTGTCCATTTTACCTCTCCTATGTTTTCATCTTTACGTGTGAGGGACTGCAGGTCACAATCCCTCCTGCTACTCACCTGTATCTCCAGTGCTGCTGCTGAACTGGGTTTCACCCCTCAACCCAGTGCAGCGTCCAGACCCCCTTCTGTCAGGGCTCACATGTGAGACTCAGCTTGCACACTGGGATTTGTCACACTAATCTCTTTAAATGTTATTATGGTTACCTTGTTTGCCTTGCAGATATCCAAAGTGGATAGCTTCATCATATTATTTTTTTTCCTGAATGAAAACATGATGTGGCCATTCTCACATTAGCCCTCAGTGAGAATATGTCTCACTAGAGAGGCCCCACATGTCAAAATGGGTGAAACAGTTATTAGTAATGTTGATACATGCCTAGTGTTAGTGGACGTGGCGGGGCATTTGAGAAAGACAGAGGTGAAGAGAAGCCAGAGCGCTGGAGGTCCTTGTTCTTTGACTTGATCTGAAATCTAAAGATCAAATCCGCCCAGCCAGCTGCAGTCACGTAGGAGCAGCTTGGGTGAAGATTTGCTTCTTTAACCTAATCAATTCAAACTCAAAAGGGTCAGGGTCTCACTACACAGAGCTCAGAGCAGCATCAGCTTCACTTTCAGCTCTCCTTGGACTAATGAATGAATATGGGGCAGTGTGAGTGGCCTAATAAAGTGGGGGTCACAAATTCCCCTTCAAGGCCTCCCTCAGGGTCCAAAGACCTTGAACATTACTAATCATACTGTGAAGTCAGTGTCACTGCTCTAACAGAGAGAAACCGAGGAGTCTTGTTGAACTGTTAGCTGTGTTTTTGCTCTGCATGTCCAGGAAGCAGATATGACATGATTTATAACAGGCCCTACTGCATTCACGCAGTTTTTTTCTTATGATAGATATAAAAATTTTCAGGGGGTTCAGTGTCTTGCCCAGAGCTTAGACAGAGGAATTTTAGAGTGTAGGTCTCAGATGCCGTACGTGTAAATGCTGTGTTTTCTAAAGCTGTAAATAATTGCTGCGTCAAAACAGAATTTCACATGTGTCGCTGACTACATGGATTCCACAGGGTCTGACTAATAATTCACATTTCACCACCTCTTAGATATGGAATCGCTATCTAGCCATCTGCTTCCTCAATGCCAGATATAATGTTTGTACCTCGAGAGACATGATGCCATCATTAATCACTGTATCTGGATTCATGGTTTGTTGTGCAGTTTTTTTTTATACCACATTATTTCAAGTGAATCTATCATGAAGGATTTGAATTTAGCTTCCTTTGCCTGCTTCTCCCATCTAGAGCTGGAGAGTCATCGCGCGCGTGTCACGACACAAACCAGATGCAGTTCATCAGCTATTCTGTGATTGTTTTTCCAGCCTGCCATTTTTTTTAGTGACGGAAAAGTGCACTCTCTCCTAAAATAGGCCAAGTCTCAAAGTAGCGCACTGTAGGGTACTGTATGTGGGTTTGCTGTTGGCATATTCAACACTGGGCTGACCCCAGTCTAAATACAGTAGATACTGTAGATAATAAACTTATAGGAGGGAGCCCAGCAGGCTTTTGTATTTTACTGTGATCACACGCAGAAGGAGTAAATTTTATTGTTACAGGCGGTAAAATATATGTTTACAAAAGGCCACGCATTTAATAGAAAATATATACTATTTAGCATAGCATGTTTTATCATTTTCTCATCAGACACAGAATAAGTCATGTTGTGATTATGGCATGGTCAAATTTTTGAAATGTTACACCCAAATATGCTTATTTCATTATCTACATTGTGAGGGGATAGCTATTGAGTATTGGTTTGGCCCTATATGTCTCTAGTTTGATAATATGTTATGATATAATTCTGACAGCATGAGGAATATCAGTTTCACAAAATTCCCTTGTGTATTAACACCTGAAATCACGCAGCATTCAGGAGCATCAGGTTGTCGTGAAATATGCCTTTGTAGTTGACGAATACGCTTCTTATTTGGCAAAACAGTAATTTTAGTTTTTATTTAAACATGACAAAATACTGTAAGTAAATCATAAGTGCTACTCTTCGGTGAGAGGACAGGGATTCTGGGTATTCTGTATCACATTAGGTTTAGATTTTTGGAGGGAGAGAAGTGGTACTAGATGTGATTGGGATACTGCACAGCTCGAGCATTTTGTGCAGCAGAGATAAGATAATTTGTTGTCAGTTAGAGCTCTTCTCACATAAAATCATGTGGCTGAGCACTTCTTGAGTTTAGGTTTATGTTTCTTTACACTGAGGGCTCTTACATAGACAACAGGGTCAGAGCAGACAAGGATTTTTGTCTGCCCTCAGACTTTTTCTGCATAAAGCAGTTAGTAAATGTTGACTTATAAATGCTAAGATGAGTAAATTTTTTAAAAATGTTTCAGTGGTTTTCTTTATCACTTCTGCATGAAGAAGTGCAATGCAAAATGTGTTAGTATTTGTTTTTGTAATATTGCTTTTCTAGGTAAAGGTTTTTTACCCTTACAGTAGCCTAATGGTCTAATTGTTTGCACAGTGCCTGCCTGACATTACAGTCTTTCTTTCCTTTGTGAATAAATGAGGCTTTGATCATCCTGGCCCACTGTAGTAGACTGCATTGTGGAAACAAAAATATATTGAGAAGTCTGACAAGTTAGGTAAACACCTCTTTGTGATCAAGGTGTGCCTCGGAGCTGGGGATGCCTAACCCAGCAGCTGCTTCAAAGTCTACAGTAATACCCTGTTTGTGGTTCTACAAGAAATCCAGCTTGACATACTGTACCTGCCTAATTTAGGCTTGTGTTTCTCGTCACCCTGATGATATTGTGCTGCTTGTCCAAAGCTATCATTATAAAACTGATAGGAAGAAGTGGGAGACGAAGCTTATTGTACAATGGCCCTGAGAGCTCAGTGCACTGCAACTTGACAAAACATCATTTCACCATCACTACTAATTGAGAGTTGACTTGAATAGCTTCATTAGTCACAAATGACATCAACAAGCATAACCCTGCAGTCTCGGTCACCAGGGGCATTGCTGGACATAAAGCTCTACTGGGGCACAAGCCGCCCATTAATTAAATCACACAATTATTTTTCTTGAATGTGAACTTTCCTTGCTTAGCCCGGTATTCCACTGCCATACTGCTGATAGTGAAACTGAAACAACTACTGGAAAAGGTAACATGTAGAGATGTTAATCTTTATGAAAATATTTATTTCAACATACATTACCAACATTCTCGACATGTTTTTATTCCATAAAAATCTGGCCCTGCATTCCGCATTTCTATAGATTCTTCTGAATTTCACAATAATATAATTTGATTGTCAAGCAGCCCCAGTTTGGTTTGTTACTTTTAAACTTTCACGTCAATCTGTCAACAAATCATTAATAAAAAACACACACACACACACACACACACACACTAGTCATTTTTTGGAACTCAAAAGGCCACATAATATATTGATGCTCTAACTAGTTCAAAATTTTATTTCATTTAATTCACCAATAAATAGCATTTTAAGAGTAGTCCAACTGATCACATGCATTGATGTACAGAGCTCTAATTTACTTCATATACAACACCTGTGCCTGATTATGTACTAGCTGACTCTTTGTATTCCTCTTTGTTAATGTGTGCTTTAGTGTGGTTTATTTGTGATTGTACAGAATTTTGGTCAACAGTAAATGTGCTTTAGACATAAGCTGACATTGACAACACTTCTATTCACAGTGCTACCAGTTTTGGTGTTTGAAAAATATACTTCTTCTTTCCCCAGAGTACAAACAGTACATTTTTCAACACATTGTCATAACATACACAATAAAGATGGCAATGATATCCAATTTAAAATGGGAAATACCAAAACAGATATACATCACAGATGTTCCCACAAACATTGCTGTTTCTATTTGGACATACCAAGAATTCTAAATATATTGCCAAAAGCGTGCCAGTTGTGGTTTGTGTATTTTGCAGCATGACCTGCAAGGCACTTAGGTCATCTGGTTCTGGGTTTACTCCACAGCCTTTCCTGGTAACCTCCACATTAAGGAGTAGACTCTCCTGACTATCTTCTCCTCAGATATGAGGAAAAAGGACCACGTCTGTCTGCACAAGTCTCAGTTTGACTAGGATGTGTGCTTGCATGTACATAGATGTGTTTCATTTGACTTGCGTGCCAGGGTATGTGAGATCAAGCATTTTCAAGTCTCATGGGGTCTGTTTTGTCAGAAGGTAGTGTTTAAACCCTCATCAGGGCTTCTGTTGCA